ACTACATAGTCTCATCAGTATACTAAATATACTCTACAATAAGCTGAGTTACTAACAGTAAGTAATACATTACAATTCTACGTCGTAAAAAATATATGATATGCTTCCATCTAAACTTTATTCTCTTACATCAAACGAGTCTACACCGTACTATATACTGCCATAGACAAACCCAACATTTAATTATATACTGTATTGCTATAAACCATTGCATTGTAATATTACACTATGTATTATTATTCTACCCACCCTAATGTATATCACACTGCTGTATATTGACTATACAATTACGATACTATATATTACTTTGTACATTGTATTAAGCATATAAATGTTATACTATTTGTTATTATACACTGTACCATTGACCGTCGTGTGAAATATACTAAGAGGAAGCAACGAAATATGTCAATGGGTGAGTAGTAAAAGGAAACTTGCAGTGGAGCAAAGAATCCATTTCCTGCAGAGAATACAATGCCAGTGAGTGGAACGCGGTCTGAAAGTCACCGTAAACGTGAACACAATCAGTTAAGATCCGAAATGGTTTATTACGTCCTTCCAATGATTGCTAAGCCAGAATCCATCTTCTCGGTTGAAATTGTCTCTGTGTTTGTATATGTTGATCGCCTCATGAACGAATCTCTCATGGTAGCCAGATGGCTTGCAGAGAACCTCTGTCTTGGAGAAGTCAATATCATATGAGCCCACTGAATTGTAACAGTGATCTGCCACGGCTGAGGTGTTTGTCCTACCGTGTTTCAAGTCTGCGGTCCGAGACATGTCGTTTGGTTTCTCCAATGTAACTGCTACCACAGAGGCAACTTAGTTTGTAGAGGCCAGGGTACTGTATGTCTGGAACCACATATTTTACAGACGGGACCAGATCACGGATTTTATGTACTATGTTGAATCGGACCTGGATCTTGTGTTTTATCAGGATTTTGGAGATCTTTTTTGTGACCCCAGCAATGTAGGATAAGGTGATGGTCTTGAAAGGCTCCTCAACAGGATCCTTCTTGATGGTTGGAGTGATGGCTTTGCGGATTGTGTAGTCGGAGTAACCATTAGCCTTGAGAGCTTGGCGTATGTGTTTGAGTTCACTGGCAATGTGTTGCTGGTCGGATATGCATTGGGCTCTATGGTATAGAGTCTTGATGAGGGAATTCTTCTGGGATGGATGGTGGTGGGAATCCGGTTTTAGGTAAGCATCCGTATGGGTGGCTTTCCTGTAGACAGAGTGGCTCATTGAACAATCAGGTCTCCTTTTAATTAGGACATCCAAAAAGGGTAGCTTGCTATCTTTTTCGACTTCCATGGTGAATCTGATGGCTGGGTGTATGGAATTGATGTGGTCAAGAAATTGGTCTAGAGCAGGCCGGCCATGTGGCCAGATGACAAAAGTGTCATCTACGTACCTCTTCCATAAGGTCGGGCGTAGAGTGGCAGTCTGGATGGCGTCAGTCTCAAATTTCTCCATGAACACGTTGGCTACAACCGGAGATAGGGGGAGCCCATTAGGGTGCCCTCAGTTTGCTTGTAGAAAGTTCCATTCCAGGTGAAGTATGTATTGGTTAAGCAGTGTCTCACCAGGGGGGGGGGGGGTACCCCAGCGTTCAGTCCTTGATGAACCAAGTTTTCAATGATTGCGATGGTGTCAGGTACAGGAACTTTGGATGAATAAGGAAACCACATCAAAAGTAACAAGCAGGTCGTCTGGGGACAGGGAAATCCCCTTGATTGTCGATACCAGGTCAGTAGAGTTTAGTACCGCAGAGGTGGTTTTTCCAGTGAAAGGCCGTAGGATTTCAGACAAAAAACGAGCCAGTTTGTAAGTGGGGGAGTTGATAGTAGAGACAATGGGACGAAGAGGTGTATCTTCTTTATGTATCTTTGGCAAGCTGTATAATCTTGGTGGCCTGGCTGCAGAAGGTTTCAACGAGAACTGTTTGGTCTGATCAATTAATGCGGTTGAAGCAGAAATGATTTTGTTGATTTTAGAGACGAGCTGCCATCGTTGAGTAGTTCTTGAATTTTGTTGTTGTAGGCTGCTTGCATTGTGGCCGAAACGTCGTGAGTATTGTTTTATTATGTTTTATTTTATTATTTTATTACTTCCCTTCTACGTGACTTTACCGAAAGAACCAAGAAGATGAATCCCTGCAGTCACGAAAGCTTTAAATCGAAAAAGAATAGCAAGGTGTTTGGGCGAGGCTCATGGGTCATGTGCTGTGGAGATGGAATTGCCATTGGGTCGAGGAGGGGCAATAATCTGATGCCAGAGTTTAATTACTTTTCAGAATGCACAACTTCTAATGAAACAGGAATTGCCAGCAAATCCGTCTTTATCTAGAAGCTACAATAAAGTATTAATGTTGTACGTATGTGTAAGTGAACTTATCTCAATAGGTTGCACATTCCCCAAAGCTAACTTGAAAGTAAAATGTGTTGAAATATGAATTTTAATGAAGCAGTTTGTTGATGTTGTGCAAGGAGGCATTACAATCACCATAAACCCAATAGAGCCACGAGGCTGCCGAAAGATGACCATCAGCCACTCCACCCCCTTGGGAGTTTCAGTGTGTTACCAGTTCCAAGTAAAATTATCAGCCTGCATTTGCCTCCATTTGGTTTCCGGACTGATAGTCGCCTTGGGAGTCCTACTCGTGGAAGTTTAAAACATTTACGAACTCATACGTCAAGGTCATTCCTTAAAATACTGGCTGAGACTCTCTGCTACTTGCTGGAGGCTAAAACCACAATATGAGAAGTTGCTGATAAGTCTCTTGGTTTACAGCATGTATGAACGTGCCCAAGCTGTGCATGTAACTCGTTTACCCATTTCAAAATAACAACATATCAAGCCTGATCTAATGTTTACAAATCTAAATAATATCGCAGGACAAACATGTTAAGGTACAACCCTGCAATGTTATTGTTCACATCACTGAGAGCGACAACAGAGCCCCTCTCCCAGGGTGTTTGGCCTACTCTTCCACGTTGGCCAGACATTTTGGAAGAGGTGGGAGTACCCACACTTTACCCCACCACGATCTACTAACTGTGGTGCAACCATGTAGACGGCTGGGTGGACAGAGGAGGAGCTATTTGAACTTGCCATTTTGGGGGACTGAACCGGCGATCTTTGGATTGCAAGCCCAGTGTGTTCAATATTGAATCACGGAAACTTCCCTCATTGCGTGTCCATGTAACAATGTTTCATACGTTATCACATATATAGTTAACAAATGTAATGGAACTGCCAGACTAACAATAGATAGCTGAGTTGTAATTGTGTTCCTCACTGAGCCACTTTTTACTAGGTCAACGCATGCATTCTCACATCTGCGACTGGAGGCAATCTTTATACACGTGCAGAATTGTGTGTTGGTGTCGGTCTGAATTCCGTCTTTTAACATTTTCCCAAATCTCAAATATGTGTTTTATAGATGGCAATTTGTATCAGGTGCCCAGGTCTCAGTGATCGGTACTTTTCTTCACTAGACTTAATTGGATTCTATCGGGTTCACTATTCACCACGGCTCAGTGAGATAATACGGGATTAATATGAGCATCTATATAATCTATTTTAATCTACCAGTTAAAAAAATAAACTACAATTCCAAACTTAAGATGTTTTTCGTTGATTACATGCCTAAATGAGACCCTCAAAGTTATTATGAATTGTTAAAGAATTTGCATTAAATATTGTGTTTACTTACATTTTACGTCAGCTTGCACATAGTGCCAGTTAACTTCTGAATGATATGTTGAGTGCTGCTCTGAAGTTTTTTTTTTTATCACGGAGATTTGTCTTCATCCAACAGCATACCAAACTTTGCAATAGCAGTGGTAATTGTTGTTAATTCATCCTATCACTTTAATGTTCAAATCTTGTAAATATCTAAGCAAGATAAAGCATCCATATATACTCCAAGCAGTGTTCTCATATTTATCCATTGAGGAAACTTAATAAAATAAATATTTCATTAGGCATCCTAACGATCACTGAAGGAAATACGCCCTTGCGAATTTGACCATGAGAGTTTCTGCCTGCGAATGCATCATTGTATAAACATAAAAAGAATGACGGCCGCTACAATCAGCACTGTTTATAGTTTAAAATTAACTAAGTCCCACACCTTTTGTTATTGTTGCTGTGTTTAGTTTGTTGTCCTTCCCCCGCATCCTCCGATTCGCATGGTTGGCTACGTATGGTGCAAAGGAAGTTCAACATATAAACAACATACATACAACACCCATGGCAGATGCGAGTGTTGTCAGTAAAGAAACGTGCTCTGGCTAGGATCAGCCAGGCTGCCCTCCTTGCCCCACGCGCACCCCCAAACGTGGTCAATTCCTCGACATTAAATTAGGGACTGGCAACTCCAAACCTCCAAGGAAGACGCAGCCCATCTTTTCCGTGCCAATCAATAGTCATGCACACCAACTGTAACGAGTGTCATTTGATTTGCAAGTCGATGTGAAGAGCTATTGGTAATGGAAATGCTGTCGAGAATGTGTATTGCTTCATTACAGAAATGTTGAACACCGAAACTGTGTTTGTCGATGTTTTTAATGTTTGTGTTTTGTAGAATTAACTCGCTTGCTATGTCCAACGTGTTCAACTCTACAACATTCTCACCATGCTACCTTTACCTCACCCTCTAACGCTGTCTTTGTGTGAATCCCGTCCCCTGCTAAAATACTCATTGATGCATTTATGGACAAGTGCCTATATCATCACGTCTCTACAGATCACCTATATCTACAATCTGTGACCCCTAATATTATGCTAGAATAGTGTTGCTGGAGTATTCGCCTGAAAGGAACCATATGACACGTGACCTGCCGATCAAACGAGCTGTCATTGTCAGTATTCCCGTGAATATAAACGGCAACTTCATGAGGGAAGGAAGAGACCTGGACAGACTCGGTATCGGACTCGTGTTGTAACTTTGTAAAAACAACCCCGTTGTCGGTGTCCTTGGGCAATCTCTTACCTTTGCTCATCAGATGAATGTGCCGCTTCTCGTCGAAGAGCGAACCAAATGTCTCCTGTTGCTTCTGAATTTCATTCATGAGTTCTTCTTTCAGTGTGGCATTTTCCATCAGCTGGTGAAGACATAAAGGGAGGAGGGCTTGGTCACGAATACTAGCAGGGTTGCACATGTTAGGAAAAAGGTGCAGCCCTGCAATATCTTCCTCATGTCATTACTGGTGTAAGAGCCCTCACAAGAAGAAGCTCTGGAGAGACCCTCTGGAGGGCATATGGCCTACTCTTTCACATTGGCCAGGCATCTTGCAAAAGATGGGAGGTCAACACTGCACCCCACCACACGCGAGCTGCCGATTGACTGACTGTGGTGAACCGATATACCTGCATGACCCGAGCTATAAGTGTTCTAATACTTGTGTCGTGGGTTCAACTGAGTCGCAGATGTAGTCTTTGGAGGCAGGGCTTTTAATTTAGTTCCAACACACAGGGTAACTTCCCCTTAACACCATAACAACATCGGGTGGTGACCACCCGGCGAACTACACTAGTTACCATGTAACTGTTACTACGAACCCGGGACCAACAGCATCTGCCCGGGTCCACGTGCTGGAAGACTCGTAGAACGGAGATCGTAGACGAAGGGTTTCTTCCCGGGATGAACCAACCCCGGTCCCTCTCGGGACCCAGCTTATATTTTCTGTGGCATGGCCGGCTCCGCGCTTGGCCACGTCCACCTTCCAGAAGCCTCGGGAAGGACCTGGGTCCCAATCACGTGACCCCCCTGAGCCCCCTCTTGGGGCCCCTCTGTCAACTTCACCGGTCACGTGTCCTCCCGGGTGAACCAGTGCCATGGCCTCACATGACCACACTGTGTTCTGTAGGGCCGGTACTGCACTTCCAGCATGGTGCCATCCAGCGCTATTATTCAATATACACTATGCCCCTCTAGGACCAATACTACACCCACAACCTGGTGATATTGTTACTAGACCATCCTGGGTGCGATCGTCTTTGATTCCACTAGTTAGGAAGGTGCCAAATTAGGAAATAGACTACAACCGTTTCCTGCATTGTGCATGCTTTTCTTTCCTCTCTCTTTCTTGTTCCTCTTACGCTATACCATACTATCCATCTCCCCGCTTCTCCAATTTCTTGCCGAGCTCTTCCTTCATTTCTCTATATCACTGCCAAGGGACTGCAGAGGGTGGCATACATCGTTACTCGTGCCTGAACCTGCACGTTGCTTTACTTTGCCGGCCCTGTTATACAAGTGTTTCTTCTTTCGAATGGCTGCTGATGTAGATGCAGAGCAACAGCTACAATTGCACATTCAAGCGGACAAGACAGATAACCGTTTCAGGAGCAGCGGTTATCTGGCTTGACCACCTAAATATGAAATTGTAGTGTTGTGTCACTGAAAAGCCTGATCATGAGCTGTGTCGTGTCAATTCATAATAGGCCCAGGGTCAGGCTCAAATACCAATTGTTTCTGGTTGTGTATGCGACCAGGGATTGAATCCAGCTTGCTGGATTTGTAACGTGAGTGATTCATTGACTGCCAAGTGTGGTGGCACACACCAGTGATCGAGTGCAAGGGTTGGTGGATCACATGGATATTACAACATTGCCAAATCCACTGAGCTGAAAAGTAATCAGGAGAAGGCAGACCTTTCAGCACTGTACCCTCAAGTGCATTAGACTCTCTCTGGTCTCCTCCCAAATTAAAAAGAAACCCTCCTGGTATGGAAACTGGTCACGCATTACAAAGCATGACACTCCATAAAGGGTTTAGAGATTATTTAAGGCTTTCTCATATATAATTATATTGATAATAACGAATCAAATTACTAGATGTACGTTTCACTAAAACCACTATTTGATGTGGACTGACTAGTATGTGGCAGGACGTGAATTTCGTAAAGTGCCAGCTACGATTTACTGATGGTTCTGTTTATTGTTATTATTCATATGGATTTCACTTCCCGACTGTTGGACAGCACTGATCTGTAAGAGGTTTATTTGGGTTATATCGCGTAAATATATAAATTTGTCGTTAAAACCCACCACCACCCGACACAGCCAACGAGTAAGGGTTGTTACGTAAACAGAACATGCCAATTCGTCACTAGTACAGCACACCGGTGTGTTGGAGAGCCAAACCATGTTCTGTTTATGTGACAACCCTTACTATTTGGCTATGTCGGGTGGTGGCGGGTTTTAACGACACATATATATATTTACGTGATCTAACCCAAAAAAAAACTCTATTATGGATGATATTGGTCGCGAAAGCCTACGTGTTAAAATCACTGATTTGCTTCAATGCTGTTCTCCGCAGTAAGGAGAAGTGTGTGCTGCATGTGATCGCTGCTTATATTGGCTTCCTTTGGCTCCCATTGTGATGTTGATCTGGTGTTTTATTTAAAATCGCGTATAAGAGACACTACTCAGAAGGAACAACAACAAAAAAACATGCAAAATCAGTCGCTGGATTTTTAAAGCTTTGCAATGAATGGTTGTGGTTTCAGTTGTGCAGTGACTCCTGGGTGGTTTAGCATCGTCTGTTTTTTTTCCTTTGTGGAAAAGCATTGCGAAAGAGTAGGCTTACCCGGGGATTTAATTAAAAAAGTATAGTCTTAGAACTGTGCTGCTTTACACCAGTATAGGGCATTATCTGTGAGGTACACAAAGTGTGCAGCAGAATATCGTGCACATGTGGTTATATTATTTTTAATGAGTGCCCTGCTCTTCCGTGCTGACCATACTGGTTACAAGATGTGCGTTCCCACACTTCACTTCCACTATTGGAGAGCCTTGCCTATCCAGAGATCAGAGGCAGACAACTAGAATGGCAGAAGACTGCCACAATTCTAGAATGTAATCAGACTCTCATCTACTTATCATGCAATTTTTTATTTAATGAATTCCAGCCATAATAGTTGTTTTTATCGTGCCAGGTAAGGCCCACTGAGCTATATAGCTCTTTTTCAGAAGCGACCTGCCTATCACATATGATAGCTCAACGAAGTGGCTTACCACGTGGACATTTAGAGCAGCCAAATACTCTAAACGACAGACAGCCCTTATCCAGCCTCAGGACTTCCCTTTTATGCCCCCCGGCGTGGCCTGGCTCTGCCCTCGGCCATGCCCCCTTCTGGAACTTACCAGAAGGTTCTGGGCCACCTTCCACGTGTCCCCTGCCTGGCTCCGCCCTTGGCTACACCCCCTTCTGGAACCCACCTGAAGGTTCTGGGCTATACCTCACGTGTCCCCTCGGTCACCTTTGCCCTACATCCTTTACCCCGGCCTATCACGTGCTCCACCAGCTGGCGGGGGTGCCACGTCTTCATTAGCCCCCTTCTGCCAGCAGCCAGCGCCATGCACCCGAGTGACCCACTCCATGGCATTGCATGCTCTGCTGGCAGAACGGCTGCCACACTCTGCTCTGCCGTCCGGTCAGCCGTTACGCCCACATTCCCTTTCTCTGTCAGTAACCAGCTCTACGTGCTGTTGTGACTCATTCTATGTCACTACACAAGCATTGGCCGAATTAAAACAATTCCAATGAGCCTGATATTGATGCAAGATGTTTGGTCCAATCGATAGGCTGATATTGTATGCGCCAACTTTGGTGCAATGCTAACTTATAGTCTTTGTGATGTTTACGTGTTATCAGTGTAAATACATGGTGGGGAGCGGTGGCGCAGTGGTTAGCGCGCTCCACTACGAACCCAGTGATCCAAGTTTGATTCCGGCTCATGACCAACACCAGTGACAATAATCTGAATCGTTACTGGGTCTCCTCTAGGTCGACTCAGCCTTAAATTAGTAGCTGGTGTGGTGTGTAAAATACATCACCTCTAGGGAGATAAAGGCGGTCGGCCGTGGCTGATGTCCACCCACCATCTTGTGTGCTGTACTGGCCATCATAGGTGCTCACTTACAGCACTTGTCTTTGTAACCACATCAACAAATGCAGTTTTCACGCTTAACTTAGTTTACTGGGAAACTCATAAACCATAGTCATTTATATCTGCTCCAGCAAAGTGCACAATGCGCTATAATCAGATTTCTGATTAACGTGTTATCTGTCTACCCAATCAATATTTGATGTTGTTCTCCGTTTATTGTTGTTGGCTGGCAGCAACCAGCAAACACAATGGCAATTTTTCAAATTTTGAAACTGGCATGAGTTTTTTTGTATATTTATTTTAACTAAAATATCTCCTTTTCAACATAAATACTATTTTGTTTAGACCCAATACCGTTTAAAAAATGGTTAAGTTTGTCATGTTTTCTGAGAAGTGATCTGGCACAAGAATTGTTGATGTTGTTGAGGCACTTGGTCCTTCGGCCAGAAAATAAATCAATGTCACCTGGGATGACAAACCTTAAACTTAACTATAAACTATTTTTTTTATTTTACCAGTTAAGGCTCACTGAGCTGTATTGCTGTTTTGCAGAAGCGACATGGCCACACATGATCGCCCAATGAAGTGGCTTATCTTGTGGAAATTTATGGAAGCCAAATACTCTAAACGCATGTTTCTAAATGTGGAGGGAAAAATCGGAGGACCCGGAGAAAAATCCACGCGATCACGGGGAGAACATTCAAACTCCAAATATACAGCAGGCGTCAGCATCGGAGTCGAAACAATGACCTCCTTTATACCAGGCGAGATAGTTACCATCTCACCACCGTGGAGCCCCGAACCTTAGAGGTCCCCTTTGCTTATGATGACCAATTATAGTGAAATATGTAATGACCGACTCGTTTGAAAAGGTCATTGCATGCTTCATGTATCAAAAGGTAAAGATGCAACCCAGCAATTGCTTGGTTTCGCCATTGTGCAGTCGAGGGAGTTCTAGACAGTAAAACAAATAATGGGTACCACTCCAGTGCTGATATCTGGTGTGAGACCGTAGACTATCTTCACCGCAACTTTACTCCTGTCGATTCCAAACATGTTGTACGGCATGTACACTAAACACTGGGAATGTCTTCATAAGTTGTATAATCTCCTGTAGATGGAGATGCCTGTAGATGGAGGTTCTTCATGTTCTGCAGTCGTAGATGCCACCACCGTCATCTACGACTCTCAGTCCGAACAGGCAA